TTGATTTTAGCCCAAGGAGACCCATTTCAGATTTCTGACCTCCAGAACTATGACAACAATAAATTTGTGTACTTTTAAGCCACCAAGTTTGTGGTAAGTTTTTATAGTAGCAAAAGGAAACTCATACAGTCCTAGATTCGAAAAGTCTTGGCTCAAAACTGAAAATCAAGTTCCTTGTTTTCTGCCAGTGTCCTGTGTTTATTGTCCAAATTCTTGGTCTAGTTATGGATTCCATTAGCAGAGTGCCCTTCAATGCATTCCTGAACCAGTCTGCCAAGCTTGAATGTGTTTCATCCCTCAAGACACCTTTATATTCTGTTCCTTGACCAGTGACTAACTCATATGCCTATCTTTTTACTTCTGTAGTCTTAGCTCCCACTTCTACTAGGGCCCTCCCTAGGCCTGCTCTGCTGGAAGCTTAACCTCTAACCATCCATCCTGCCTTGCTATGGGATTCTCAGTTTCTTCACTTCCCCTGAATCCATACCCACTGCCCTAATGCTTACAAATTATTCAATAGTAAATCAAAATAAACTGGGGTGAGAATAGCAGTAGTAGGCTTTTTAAGTGAAGAATGAAGAATCAGTTAACATTAAATACAAAGTTTTCAAAACACTATAAATTTAAACTGTCTAGCTGCTTTAAATGAATTTAAACTTCAACATCTAGATGGACTATAAGTCAAGTATTACCTGAGCCAATAAATATAAGGTTGACCTTTGAACAACACAGGTTTGAATGGCATGGGTCCACTTACAAAGAGATTTTTTTCAATAAATACAGTACAGGACTATTATTGTATTTTCTCTTCCTTAAGATTTTCTAAAATAACATTTTCTTTTCTCTAGCTTACTTTATTGGAAGAAAACAGTATATAATACATATAACATACAAAATATGTGTTAATTGACCTTTTATGTTAGCAGTGAGGCTTCCGGTCAGCAGTAGGCTATTAGTAGTTAAGTTCTGGGGAAGTCCAAAGTTATACGTGGATTTTTGACTGCATGATAGGGGTGGAAGGGGGGAGATGGTGCCCCTAACCCCATGTTGTTCTAGGGTCAACTGCAATTTAAAAACTTTTTAGTTCGGAAAAGGTGCCATAAAACTGGATATATTTAAAATCAGCCTTAATATCCAAAGGGTGAATTGGGTAGGAAGGAAAACCCTAAAAACCAAAGACCAATTAGTTTGACAGTGATTCCTGTTTTCAAATGAGTCTATCAGCACTAAAGACAACACAGGTTCACCAAGAAGTCGTGCCAAATTAACCTAACATCTGTTTTTGAGAGGAGAACTAAGATGATTATTTAATAAGAAAAATGCTAGGATGAGAGGATAAACTAAGTTCAACAAAGTCTTCCTTACTATCCATGCAAACAGATTCAAGATGCAAAATCATCAGTAGTTTAAAGCCTTAACCTCTGCACTGTTGGTGGAAACTGAAAATGGTGCAGCCATTATGGAAAATAGTAAAGAGGTTTTTCAAAACTGAAAAATAGCACTGGCGATATGAACCAGCAATCCCACTCTTGGGGATATAATCAAAAGAATTCAAAGCAGGATCTTGCAGATGTATTAGCACACCCTTATACAGTGCAGCATTATTCACAACAGCCAAGAGGCGGAAGCAACTCAAATGTCCATCAACGTGTAAATGGGTAAACAAAATGTGTATATACTTACAACAGAATACTACGCAATCTTAAAAAAGGAATGAAATTTATCACATACTACAACCTGCATGAACCTCAAAGGCATTATGCTAAATGAAATAAGCCAGTCACAAAAGGACAAATGCTGCATGATCCCATTTATTTCAAGAATCTAAAAGACTCAAAATGACAGAAAGAGAAAGTAGAAAGGTAGTTGCCAAGGGCTAGAAGGAAGGGAAACTGGTACTTAACGGGCATAGAGTTTCAAATCTGCAAGATGAAAAAGTTCTAGAGATGTACTGCACAACAATGTGAAGATACTCAACACTACTGAACTGTATACTTAGAAATGGTGAAGGTGGTAAATTTAACTTTATGTGTCTTTTACCACAATAAACAAAATAGTTTAAAAAAAAAATCTTGAACTGAACAAACAAGATGATTTGTAACAATAAATTTTAAACCTACTGATTCAAAGGCATTAATCATGTATAAGACCTTGGAAACATGTCTTTTAAGAAAAGGGTGAAGAATAAAAGGGAAGGCATATTTAACTTAAGAGAAGGAAGACTAAGTGAAACCTAAAAGAGCTAAGACAGAGAAGGAAACCTAAAAGTTATTCTATGGTTAACTAGACTCAGGTTTATTCATTCATTCATTCAACAATGTTTATAGAAAATAAACAATGTGGCAGGCACTGTTCTAGGTGTTTCTGATACAACAGTGAACAGAGCAGAGATACCTGCCTTCCTGAAATTTTACATTCCAGTGGGGAGAGACACACAAACAATAAACATAATAAATGAGTGTGGTAGGCTGCTTCTAAGTGGCTCCCAATGGTCCCTTGGTATTCACCCTCTCATATAATTCCTCCCCTGCGTATGGACTGGACTTAACAAACAGAACACAGTAAATGTGATGAGATACCACTTCCAAGATTTGATCGTAAAGACTGTGACGTCTGTCTCACACACTCTCTCTCCTGCTTGCTTGCTCTGGTGAAGCCAGCTGCCATCTTATGAGCTGCCCTGTGGAGAGGCCCTGTGAAGAGCCAAGAAGCTGAGGGCAACCCCAGCCAACAGCCAGAAGCCAGGACTGAACTAAGACCCTCAATCCAAATGCCCACAAGGACCTAAATGGTACCAACAATCACATGAATGAACTTAGAATGGATCCATCTCCAGTTGAGCCTTGAGGAGACTACAGCCCTGGCCAATACCTTGAGTTCAGCTTACCAGAGCCCCAGAAGCAGAGGGTCTATACAGATTCCTGACAAACAAAAACTATGATAATAAATGGTGTTGTTTTAAGTCACTAAATTCTGAAATGGTTATTTTATGCAGCACTATATATTAATACAACATGCTAATTATATGTATGTTAAAAACAGATGCAAATAAACGTAGAGCAAAGGTGGGGGGTGCGAGATGCGATTTTAAAAAAGGGGTGTTATGCAGGGTGCCTGGGTGGCTCAGTCAGTTAAGCATCTGCCTTCTTCGGTTTAGGTCATGATCTCATGGTCCTGGGATCGGGCCCCAGGTGGGGCTCCCTGCTCAGCGGGGAGTCTGCTTCTCCCCCTTCCTCTGCCCTTCCCACCCCCACCCCACGCTGCTCGCGTTCTCTCTCAAATAAATAAATAAAATCTTTTAAAAAGGGGCGGGTGTTACAAAGACTTGCATGTGAATGTTTGTAGTAGCATTATTCGTAAGAGTCAAAAAGTGGAAACAACCCAAATGTCCATCAATAGGTAAATGGAGAAACAAAATGTGGTATGTCTATACAATGGAATCATTCAGCCACAAAAAGCAAGCAGTGACACATGCTATACCATGGAAGAAGTACAAACATATGATGCTAAGTGAAAGAAGCCAGCCACAAAAGAACACCATTGTATGAAGAAAACCTATACAGAGAAAAAGTAGTTTAGTAGTTCCCAACTACTTTCTCTTGGGATAGAGGTAGGCAGACGATTAACCATAAATGGGCATGAGCGATCTTATCGGGATGATGGAACCATTCTCAAACTGGACTGTGGTGGTCGCTGCTCAACTTGGCAAATGTATTAAAAATCATTGAATCGGACACTTAAAACAGGTGAGTATACAGTATGTAAATTATGCCTCAAAAGTTGTTTAAAAAAATTGGGGGGTGTTGGGGCACCTAGGTGGCTCAGTCGGTTAAGCAACTGATTCTTGATCTCAGCTGAGGTCTTGATTTCAGGGTCGTGAGTTCAAGCACCACCCTGGGAGCCAGCATGGAGTCTACTTAAAAAAAAAAAAAAAATGGGGGTGTTAACACAGGCATCACAGAGAATATAACATATGAGTAAAAACTAAAAAGGAAGGGTATCAGCCATGAGAATATCTAGGGGAAATATGCCAAACAAGGAGAAGCTACACAGAGACCCTAGGGCAGGAGCACACCTGTGTGTCTGCAGCACAGCAAGGGTGCTAGTACGGTGGAGCTGGAAACTTTTAGACAGGACAGTAAGAGACGAAGTGAGAGAAGCAATGATGGGTGGAGGGTGGTGGTGATGGGAAGCACATAGGGCGTTTCTACGCCACTGGAGGGACTTTGGCTTTAGCACGTGAGAAACAGAGAGTATATTTAAGTTCTGGGCAGAGGAGAGATGCGACCCAACTTGCGTTTGTAAGATCCTACAAAGTCAAAAAATTACAAAAAGAGATTATAAAAGGGTCCAGACAAGCTAGCTACCTCCAGAGTTACTGACCTCTCTTATCTCACTGGGAGAGAGAGACGTTCTACACCGAAAAGGAAGGGGCACTCATCAGTGTCTCAAATATGTGGCCTGTGTGACCTGCCTCAGAACCTCCAAGGGAGGGCGCCTGGGTGGCTCAGTTGGTTAAGTGACTGCCTTCGGCTCAGGTCATGATCCTGGAGTCCTGGGATCGAGTCCCGCATCGGGCTCTCTGCTCAGCGGGGAGTCTGCTTCTCCCTCTGACCCTCCCCCGTCTCATGTACTCTCTCTCTCTCATTCTCACTCTCTCAAAATAAATAATAAACAAATCTTTAAAAAAAAAAAGAACCTTTAAGGGACCCTTATTATACAGGCAGGTCCCAAGGTTTCACCCCTGACTCGTGAACATCTGGGGATGCGGACAGAAGACTCCAAATTTTACAAACTTCCCCAGGTGATCATTTTGAGGAACATATTGAACCAGATGAACATTTAAGTCCCTTCAAACTCTAAATTATGAGAAAGTACACAGGCAACTGAAACCATATTTATCTAAGGAAATGGCTGGGATTTACTACAAATGAACATCAGAAGTGATTATTTTATTACAAATGAAGTGCCTTTTTTTCCCATCCTCAAAAACACCTTACCCAGTTGTTTTTCTTCCCAGCATAAATTTCCATGTTCTCTCCGTACTGCGGCTCTTCCAGTAACGTCTGGTACTCAAACATGAGGCGGGAGCTCTCCCGGAGACGGCTGCATTGGAACTGGTGGTATTGCTGCACGAGCTCCTTCACCACAAGTAACAGACATTCAGGATTTGAAGGATTCCAGGAGGCAAGGTTCTGCAGAAGCCAAAAATAAAAGGCCAGTTAAAAAGGAATTTTCATACAAATCCAGTATCACATGAACACAGCGACATAGAGGGAAAGAGTTATGAAAATCTAAGAGGAACAGATTACTCTTAATTAGCAATAAATGCAGAACTGAAGTTAGAAGCAGCTTTTGAGCTTGGTGACTTTGCCTGCCTTCTACAAATCCTGGCAGAAAATCAAGGTGGAATTCCATCATGAGGAGACAGAAACAGTAAAGTGTAGAGCAGGGCAGTGATAAAACAAGAAACTTAGATATCCTAGAAGACCATCACTTTAGCCCTAGAAGACTTAATTTCCTTCTTATTCTTTTATAATTTTAATTTTTGTCAATCTGCACATAAATCCAGCATTATATGCTAATATCATTCAACCCAGATCCCCAGACCATCTGCATCTGTAATACCAGATATAAATAAATGCTCTGTAAACACTGGAGCCCCACAGAAATATAAGCACACCGGTGATGGTTTGGCCTGGAAATGATAGGAATGGAGTAGGAGAAGAGGGAAAATCAATCAGGAAATGCAAGGTTCAGAGAGAGGAAGGAAATGGCCGTGACAGCTTATGAGCAAGAAAGGAGCTGGGAACGGCAGGGGGCGGGGGAGGGAAGATCTGGTCAACAGACAGTCATTGTGAAGCTCACATTCATTCATTCAACAATAGCTATCAAATGCCTATTATTAAGCATCAGCCACCGTTCTAGGCAGTAAAGAAAACAAGCCAAGCCCTTGCTCTCCAGGAACTTACATTTTAGTGGGCCAAAATAAACAACCAACAATGAAATAGATCAGTAGATGGTAATAAATGCTACTGAGCACCATACAGCCTGCATCCCGGAAGCCTAGGGAAGGGAGTGGTTCAAGGAGAAAGAGGTGATCAGCTGTGTGAAATGGTGTTAACAGGGTGAGTTAAGGAAGCCTGAGAGCTGACCACTGGGCCCGGTGACACACCCATGAATAGCATCCTCAGCTGGTGCTCTTTGGTAACGTAAAACGTGACTGTCAAGCGTTGAAGAAAGGATACGTAGAAAGTGCACATAGCTAGGCCAGACTATTCAAACTGGCAACTAGTGGGGAGTGTGGGGTCAAGGGAAAGTTCTGCTCAGATGTTTGTCGTCTGCTGGAATGTCCATGTAGAGAAGGGGGTGGGGAATAAGGTGGGGGTGGGAGGCAGAATAGCAGGAAGAAAGAAAGCAAATAGGTGGACAGGGATGGGATCTCCAAAAGGGCTGGCCTTAGAAATGAGCGCAGAGAGTCCGTCCATAGGAGTGGGAGGAAAAGCCAAGTAAATGAGTGTTAAGTGCAGGCAGGTTGTTCCGTGAGGTGACAGGAGCATGTGGTGCGGAGAGCTTCTCTTTTCTCCTTGAAACAGGAAGGAAGGTCATCAAATGGGAGTCAGGAAGAAGGAAAGGATATTGGAAGTTGGAGAAGAAAGTATGAAATAGTCACTTAGAAGAGTCATTTAGTAGAATAAATGGACTGGAGAAATGTAGGAGGAATTCCAGACAGCACTAAAAGCCCCACTGAGGTTAGAGGGATGGTTTTTAAGTGAGACCAATGAGCATAAATTTCATTGCCTGGGTGCAAATGCGAAGTGGGAGGAATTTGGATTTAACAAAGCTTGGGACTTTGCCAGAAAAGCACAACAGAAAGAGAGGCAAAGATCTTAGAGGGTTTGCAAAAGAATGATTATAATTATGGACCATGGACATTAAGCCAGGAAAAAGACAAGCAAGTTTAAGGGAGGTGAGAATTTGTGAAAGGGTGGCAGAACCAATGGTCCTGAGTTTGGTGGATCATTAGGTATCATTACATGGGGAAAGACTTACTAATAGGGAAAATACATAACCTTGAACTAGGGCTGCTGCAAATTCAAGGACAGTGAATAGAATAAGAATGACAAAGGTAATAAAAGCCTGGTAGGCTAATGCTCATTAGGGTGAGGTTTGCTCCTCCAATTAGGTCAATCAGTAGGTGTCCGGCAGTAACAGGGCCAGTGCTATTGGCTAAATAAAAAGACTAATGGATTTGATAACTAACAGATAACATACTAACAGATAACTACTAAAAAGAATGAATTGGAAAGATGGGAGGTGTGGTCAGAGAACACGACGGTTACAACCGAGGGAGCAGAGGTGGTCTGTAACTGGGACTGACAAGGTGTGGAGTACCACCAAAAGCTTGCCTGGCTCGGAAGAATCATTTATATGCATATTAAATCATTTATGTAGAGAATTTTAGGGAAAGGGGAATGACAATTTCCTTGGTAGCAGCACTGAAGAGCAAGGAGAACACCTACATACCTCTAGGCACAATGGTATAAGGGGTGTGAGAGAGAAATCAGCTCCAATTTATTGGAGAACATGGAGGGAAAGGCGGAACCTCCAGGCAGAAAAGTCAGACTCCAGAGTAGAGGTTACCAGTCTTTGCAATGGAATCACCTAGAGAGCTTTAAAAATACTAATACTTGGGCCCTACCCTCCACCTCCTGATTTTGATTCAATTGGGTTAATCTGAGGTTCCTCTCCGAGGTCCTGGGTATTGGGGTGTTTGTTTTAAATTCAAGCTCCCAGGTGATTCGAATGCACAGCAAAGGTTGAGAACCATGGACTTGGAGGAAAAAGGATTACAGAAAAGGTTGTGGATACAGGGTATCTGTGGATATAGGACTCTACTGATAAGAGTTGACAGTGTTAATACCCCAAAACACCCAATCTCTAGAAAGCTAGAAATTTAGCATCAGTAAAGGAGAACACATGTTACACTACCAAAGTTCAACAGGTGATAATTATACAGCTTGCCAAATGCTATATAAATTCTAAGAACTTTTCATATATTCAAGTTAATTCATATCACAACCTTATAGAGTATATTACTACACTTTATAGATGAGGCAAAAAGTAGTTCAGTATCTTGTTCAGAGGTATTAAACAATCAAGTTGAGTTTTAAACTTAAGCAATTTGGCTCCAAGTCCCTGCTTAAGCACTACACCAAAGGTTCTTACACATTTTGGTCTTGGATACCTTTTACACTCTTTTAAAAAAAAAGTACTGAGAACACCAAAAAGCTTCTGTTTAGATGAATTATAGGGATTAAATTTACTATATAAAAAATGAAAACCAAGAGATTTTAAAAATATTTATTAATTCATTTTAAAATAACAAACCTACTACATATTAACATAGAAATATTTTTAATGGAATCACTAGGATTTCCAAAAGAAATAGAGCATGGCATTGTTTTACATTCTTGCAAATCTCTTTAATGTCTGGCTTAATAAAAGAGCTGAATTCTCATATCTGCTTTTACGCTCAGTTTTGCAATATGTTGTTTTGGCTGAAGGATATGAAAAAAAATCCAGCCTCACTCAAATATGTACTTTAAAAAGAGAGGAGTATTTTAATAGCCCTGTCAAATAATTCTAGATATATTCTTCTTGGATACTATACCAAAACTCAACAAGTGGAAGTTTCTTAAAGGTTAGCTGCAGGGGCACCTGGGTGGCTCAGTCGTTGAGCATCTGTCTTCGGCTCAGGTCATGATCCCAGAGTCCTGGGATCTAGCCCCGCATCGGGCTCCCTGCTTGGCAGGGAAGCCTGCTTCCCCCTCTCCCACTCTCTCTACTTGTGTTCCTTCTCTCACTGTGTCTCTCTCAAATAAATAAATAAAATCTTCAAGAAAAATTTTAAAAAAATAAAGGTTAGCTGCAATGTGGAAGCATTTCATACTCTTACATTAAATTCCATTCATCTATCCTGCACTTTAAATATATCTTCTACTCAATGCATGATTTTGTACCATCATGCATTTGGTCATTTAGAAAATACTGATTCACAGAGTTATGCAGATCTTCCAAACATTGACACATTTCATTTATATAGTACCACATAATCACATTCATTAATATCATAACTAATAATCTCACCAGAAAAGTCTTCTATCAAAAGAAAACAAACAAAAGGTTTTAAAAAATGCATCCTTTAAAAGGACAGCAATTACTCTGATCTACTAAGTAGTTTGATTTACAGGCACCAAATGACAATGGGGAAATCATGAAATAGGTCTTAAGGGATGTTCAAATAAAGATTTGATGAACACAGGAAAAAAGTAAGCTCTTGAGCATCGTACAGTGACTGAAAGACAACCCTAGCTATGAACTGATTTGATAAGAAGAGTACAAAAGTCCTCACTGGCAAACCTCTTGACCTCAAGATTCTGAAAATTCCTTTTGAGCTACTCAAGACCACAAAGTATCAATAGGATATAACGACAAGGGGCGCCTGAGTGGCTCAGTCTTTTGAGCATCTGCCTTCAGCTCAGGTCATGATCCCAGGGTCCTGGGATCGAGCCCCACGTCAGGCTCCCTGCTCAGGGGGGGAGTCTGCTTTTCTCACTCCCTCTGCCCCTCCCCCTGCTTGGTCTCTCTTGATTTCTCTCTCTCTGAAATAAATAAATAAAATCTTCAAAAAAAAGGATATAAAACACAGTACAGAACTTAAAATGATCATTATGTAACTTGCTTTGCATTTCCTTCAGAGATCATCATTAAACATTAATAGGAAAAATATACAATCTTTCATTTCTTCATCAAGTAGTTGAGTCCCTGTTCTAGGACAAAAAGAAAAAAGTTTAGTTGCCTCAACTTGTACTTTTTTAATTCTATCATTTCTCTTTAGCTGTTTGGCAAGTTACCAGCCTATATCCCTCAATAAAACTATATATATATATATATATAAAGCTGGCAAACATCTCTTACCAATTTGAATTCATTTCAAGTAATTCAACCTAATTGTTAAATATGTAAAGATATGCCAACAAGTCCCTTTCCATTGAAATACAATCTCTCAGTACATGGAAATACATTTGACGTCTTTAGCCATTCAGCACACACTTCACTGGGAAATGACTTAGCCAAAAAGCATCCCCATCAGGGGTACAGACAGGCTCAACAAAATAAAAATCTCCCGACT